CATATTACTGATATACAAGACAATCCTGAAACCTATTTGGACCTCCGGATTTGAACATTGGGGGACAGCAAACTTTTCTAACATTAAACGCATCCGATTCGTTCATTCCAAAGTTCTCCGAACAATAGTCGATGCTCTGTTCTATGTAACCAACAAAACCCTACATCAAGACCTTAATATCCCATTTGTCCTCGACCTGATCCCAAAAATTTTTCCAAATTACATTAGAACCTTATAATTCATCCAAATCCCCTTGTACAAACCCTATCTAGTTCCACTCATCCCTACAATCCTCCTCGAAAGTTGAAGCGGCAGTAGCCTAGAGATCATTTGTAGTGTATATCTTGCAGTTCTGGCAATGGCCAGATTCTCCACTCAAGACATGAGTGTATGTGGTAGAGCGCTCTCGCTCAAACTCCACTGGCTTTAGCATCAGTGACGCGTTTGAGAGAGTAGCGCAGGAATCTTTTGGAGTCCTACTTTTCCTTCTATAGTTGGAGGGAGAAGCCTGGCTTGGGGTTCCCTACCTAATTGTATATAGGTGTGACTGTGTTTTCATGTTTTTTAATTTACTTGTCTTTAGATTATTTTATTTTTTTATTGTAAATAGTTTTTGATTATTTTTTTTACTTTTGTTAATATTATATTTTCTGTATATATGGCGTGAGTGCGTTCATATATCACTATAATTATTGTCCACGTGACAGATTGTTAAATTTCTAAATAAATAAATAAACAATTTGTTTGCAGTAATAATTATAGGAGCAGCGGTCGGTAGGATGTCGAGTACGTTGCCACAGTAATCTGGTACGGAGTTTGATGTGGATTAAGTCAAGGAGGTGTTGGGGTAGAATGGTCTTTTTAGGAATTCTTTGGGAGTATTTTGGGAAGGAGGTAGATTGTTGGATTGTGGTAGTAAAGGAATTGACGGCACTATTAAGGACATGAGGAGTTTTTAGGGATATATTGAGATCAATTTTATCGGAGAGGATTTGGGGGAAAAGGTTCCAGTTAACTGGGCTCCTGATAAATGATGGTAGAGAAGGTTTGGGAACGGGCTCAAGTGAAACATTAAGAATTAGAGGACTATGGTGAGAGGAAAGTTCATTTAGATGTGTTATAGAACAACTAAGGGAACCTAAGCCGCTGTGGATAAAAAAATCGAGAATATTAGGCTTACGGTAAGGATCTGTGGGCCAGTAGGTAGGAGAGTTGGAGGAAAGGAGGTGAAAACTTTTGGAATTGAGTGAGGACATCAGGTTTCGGCCACGAGAATTCGTGATTCTTGAACTCCATTGTTGGTGCTTGGCATTTAAGTCTGCACCCAGGATGAAATTATGGCCTAAGGAGTTGAGGACAGATCTGAACTGGCCTTTGAATATGGATCCGTTAGGAGGGCAATATGCTGATGCAAGGGTGACCGGAAAGGAGAAGGTTTTGATTACAGTAGCGGTTGATTGTAGGAAATCTTGAGTAGGTAATGGGAATAAGTGATCACAGAGGGATTGGTGTACGACGACAGCAGTACCGGCATGTGCTCTACCGTCAGGATGGTCAGTACGATATGTTATGTACTGTGGAATTTTTAAATGCTGTTCTTGGTCAGTCGCGTTTCTGTAATTATGGCTATGTTAATGTTGTTGCCTGGTAGTAAAGGTGTTAGTTGGTCAACGTGATTTCAAACACCATTTGCAATTCAAAGGAGAATGCATATGTGTTTGATGGGAGTCATTTAAGGATTTTTCACAGGAGGGATGATGTGAGATACGTGATTTGTTAGCAGTGATATGAGTGGGGTAACCATTGATTTGAATTCAATGAGGAATGATGACAACAAACTGGTCGAGCCTGTGGCATTTGAGGGAGGAGGAATATGAGGAATTTGAGGTTGTTGATGGTTAGGTATGTTAGGATGAACAGGATATTGAGGTTGCGATTGATGTAGTTACTGCGAAAGTGCTTCACATTTATTAGTTGGGTTCTTACCTTCAAGTAGTTCGGTGAATGATAGGTTATTATTAACAATTCTAGAAGGTTCTCTTCTTGGTCTAGTTGTCTTATATTGAATCTGGTTCTTCTGGTTCTGGATTTGAGGTTCTTAAAATTTGGCAGCCTTTGTAGTTGGCCAGGTGTTCCTCTAGACATAGGGAACAAACTGCAGGATCTTGTATCGGTTTTGTGCACTCTGCTGATTTTTGTTGTTCACCACATTTTACAAGTGGTGGCAATAAGCCTTCTTGGGCCATAAGCCTGGCAATGGTGGCACTGCACGATTGCCCTCTTACAGTACGGCTTCTCTATCTTCACGATAGTGCAATGCAGTGCAATCTCTTAATTTCTTATATTTTCTCAATACCAGGTGATGGCTCTAGGTCCACGAAAATTAACGGTAATGGAACTTTATTTTTTACTATTTGATTACCTGAAGTACTTTGAAACCAAGCGTAGTTAGTTCTTCTTTTATCACTTCAGTTGGGGTTGAGGAGTGCGAATTTCTTATTACTACTCGTAACGATTTCTCCTGCCTAAGCTGGTACGTATAAAAATTCACATTCGTTTCTGATAGGAACTTCACTATTTTTCGGTAGGTTTCGGCAGTATCTGGTGTTATTTTTGTATCGTTGGTCCTGTTGAGGTAAGTTGTGTACATAAGAATTGGATTTTTTTTTACAAATATCGGAGGAGGCCTAGGTTGCCTGGGTATTGCTGCTGACTCCATTACTTCTTTGTCATTTTGAAGCACTTGAAATGGGTTTGGAGTAAAGAAAGGGGATTCTTCAACAATTTCTTGCAAAGAGGAACCTAGTTGAGATTGAGGTTCTGGATCTGAAGTGTTGACTGTGGCTATTGGAGTGGTTTCTCGTAGGCAGCGACGAGTTCTTTGTTTTGCTGGTGAATCACGAGGGCTACTAACGCCATCCGACCTAGTCCTCTTAGTGGGAACCTTACTGGACATCACTTAGTAACAATACCGCATATCATAAGAGAAGGAAAGGAAAAAAAAAAAATATATATATATATATCAAACAGTAAATATCAACTGCTCTGATGTACACTTGAACTGTATTCAGTGAATAATGAGAGATTCAGCTAGAAAATAGGCATAAACTGAGAGACGAGTTGAGAACACAACCTTCGAATCAGCTGATCCACTGCCTTCTGACTTTTTATCCAGCTAAAAATAAATAATGTAAACAAAAAATATTTGATTTAAAAATAAAAAAACCAACTACTGGGAAATTCTATCCACCTTAAGATAATGTACTACCATATCTACTTAAACATCTTTGTAGACTGATACGGAAATTGACATCTACGAATATTTAAACTTGGTGTAATAGTCTGGTGCCTTTCATTACACATTACCACTTCAGGCAAATAGATTTAGTCCGATCCAGGAGTGCCCAGAAGGGGGTTTTATGGCGAAAGTTGCGCCACGAAAATTTATGAGGGGGAGGCGCATTTTGACTGGGTTAAAATTTTTCGAAATGAGAAGTTTCAAATCAGAGAACAAGAGGAAACCATAGAACAAATCACTAAAGTTGTAATTGCATATGACCTATGATTTTTAAAATTCTACTTTAGCTTACACTGATTTTAAGAAGAGGAGAGCAATAAATTATCTTTGGGAGAAGATTTATGTGCCATTGACCTTGTGGAGAATCTATCGGTACAAGTAAATATCCGAAAGTCCTTGAGTTGTGTTCGGGGGAGATAGGTACCCGAATACTACTTCAACTTTAAATATTAGTAGATTTCAATTTTCCTATCAATCCACCAAGATATTTAAGTGAATATGAAAGTACATTCTCTTAGGGCAGAGTTCCCCAATTTCTGTAGTCGGTTTCATTTATTTATTTATTTAATTCACATATTTCTTTACTTTAATATGTTTATAATTTGAATATTAACAATTTATTTCCATAACATATCATCGAACTTAAAAATTAATCCATCCTCTCGTTAAACAAATCTTTACAAAGCTTTTTGTAAATTTATTAAACACATTTCATCTAATAACGGGCCAGAGTTTTAAACTCAAATTGTTTCAAAACAATCAAGGGATCTCACCGAATAATTTGAGCTATCAAACTTAAAAATCGGTCCAGCCGTTTGTTTAAAAAAGCTATACTTTGCCTTTAGTGGACTACCCAAACACACACATATCCCTCGTTTCGCTTCGCTTAGTCAGATAAAAAGTGAAAAAATCTTTGATTTCTTAGTGTGTACAACCTCAAATAAAAATACAACGTTTTTCACAGTCAAACTAGTTTGCCGCTTAAAATGAGATAAGAATATTTAGGGATCATTGAATCATAAAATCCTATTATATGTTGATATATATTATTATCTTTGAATGTAAATGACAATTTAAATAAAAGTAACATTTAGGTATCAATAAAATAGTTACGTACCTACTACTAGATTCTAGCCTAGCAGTATCCTATCAAGACGACCTTTCTTAATTGGTTTTATTATGAAAGGATATTCACGTCCTTCAACATTTTATTGCGGGGGGGGGGGGAGGGGAGATCAGCCCACGCAGTCTGCGCCTATGATTATCTGCCCTTGAATAAAAAGAAAATTCAGTTTAAATCATCAACCTTATTATTGCTTACTAATCAGAATTTCAAAAACTCGAAGAATTTAGCTTGACTGATTTTGAGATAAACCAAAGTTTGACAATGAGAAGGCTAGAGTCCGTTCTAATTAAACTTATGTACTTGGAAAGTAAGTTTTTGTCTATAGTTATATAAAATATCATCTATCTTAAGCTCGTATGAGCTGGAACAGATCTACACCACTTAACAGTTATTATAGCTATTGAGTTCATCAATTTCCAGCACCTTCAAAAATCTATACCAAAATGAACCTCACTCAATAAACTATCCAGTTTCTGAGTTAAAATAAAGGGGATTTTTTCCAAATTTACAACAAAAAAATTTAATATGTAAATCTTTTATATCAAAAATTTAAAAAAACATTATAAGGAATCTACATTTAAATAAAAAATACAGTATTTATTTATTTTGCTATTTAATTTATTAAGGGACATACTTAGTTACAATGTACTTCAAGTAGGTATCATTTATTGATAAATTTTAATTACATACAACCACATGCTTCTACTGTCAAGTCTGGAATGGTCTTCTGTATAAATGTTCCATTCTGATCCATATAAATTAGTTGCACAGAAGACAGTTTTGTTGGTGCACAACATGGTGTGATTTCCAACGCAGGGCCTTTCGTTAAGAATAGTTTCTAAAATAAATAAACAAAATGAATAAAAGCCAAACTAGTTGTGATAAATAGTGAAAAAACCAACAAAAACAAAACCAATTAAACTTATAATTTTAGCATAACAGTTACTTCCATAGATTAGTTTACTGTATAATTTTTATGACTGTTTTAGAATATTTGAAAATTATTTTATTTATTTATTCATGCTATTTACAACTGCATTAAATTAAAAATACATCTAGTAAATGTGCACACAGGAATAATACAATCATATGAAAACGCTTGTTGAGAAACTACCCATTGGCAGCACTCTAAATATTTGAAAGTAATTTTAAACTATGAAACGTCATATTATAGATGAAATACGTCCCTACATCTTGGAAAACCGCCCTAGTACGCCCCTTTAAGAAGAATTCCATCCCATCAACTCTTAATGATTTCCATCCAATTGCCTTTAACTCAAGCTTTTCCAAATGTTCAGTTCAATCCCACTTTGTAGAACAGGATAACCTTCTAAACACCGGTTTCCGGCCTGACTATTCTAAGAAACGGTGAATAGCATTAAGTGTGGACCGACTAGGAGAGCCAACCTAATGAAAGACGACTATGACAATATGCTAATGCTAGAATAATAAGTGCAAGAAAGGTGTATAACAGCAATATTTCAAAAGATTACTGAACCCAAGAGAAGCAGAGGACTGTCTGGAAGACTATGCACAATTAGAATAGAATAGAATAGAAGAATCAACTGTACATAAAATTAACATTACATCTGGCCAAAATGTATATTACAATAAACAAAAACAAACAAAAAAAAAAAAAAAAAAATAAAAAATAAGGGATAAAAGAAGTATTTACATAACTGTACAGATATAGGAAGACTTAATATGAGCAATAAGGTCCTAATACTGCAAAATAGTTGCTATACACAATAAGCTATGAAATTGTAAATGAGCGACAAATAACTTTTGTTGTCATGTCATTGTATTAATGAAAATAAATAATAATAATAATAATAAAGATGTTACAGTAATAATAGTATGTTCGAAGAATACAATAATAGTATATATATATATATATATATATATATAATATATATATACAATAATACAATAACAGTAAGAATACAATAATAGTACAATAGTATATATACATTATATATATATAATAATATAATAATAGTATAATAATACAATATTAGGCTACCCAGCGTCTGATTGAATTGTAAGGAGGAATTGGAAAAGGAGGGTTTTAAATGTGGATAAGGATGGTGCATGGAGGATTTTAAGTGGGATGGAATTCCAAAATGTGGTGGATCGGACAATAAAGGAGTGTTGAAATGAGGCCGATTTGTGGAATGGGGTATAAAGGTCGGAAGGACGAGATCTTGTGGAGAGGGAGTGGATAGATGACTTGAATTGAAGGAGATTGTATGCGTAGGACGGACGATGATTATAGATTATTTGGTAAAGGAATGTACCTAGGAAGTACTGTCTTCTGAAGGAGGGAAAGAGCCACCCTGACTCGGCGTAGTAGTGGGAAACATGAGAACGTCTCGGGGTCCCATTGACAAAACGTACTAAGCCATTCATTATTCTTTTCAGTCTGACTCCAAGTTCCGATGAGAGGCCACCGTACACTACGCAGCTGTAGTCAATGTGGGGGAAGATGAGGGCGGATACTAGGAGTCTACGCGTAAATATGGGTAGGAGATGGCGGAAGCGATGGAAGAGTTTCAGGATGGAAATTGAACGTCGGGATATGAGGGAAATATGGGGATTCCAGGAGAGGGTTTGATCTATGATAGGAAAGTGGGTACTTCTTAAGATGCAATTGTAAATATATGTGAGGAATATGATAGCTTTGGGTAGAAGTTGTCGAAGGATCTGTGGTGTTAGGAAGTCGTATCCAGGAGATTTACGGAGAGGAAATTTTTGTAAGTGATGTTTGACCTCAGATGGATTAACTGCTTTAGGTGGTAAGGAGAGTGGAATCGATGAAGAGGGGAACTCTTCTACTTTTGCGGTATGGGTTGGATGGGATTCTGGATGAGGAATGTACTGGAGGGGTGTCTGGCAAATTCCTCAGCTTTGTCTTCATCAAACGCTGCCCAGGAATCGTCGCATTGACGAAGGGGGTGGGAAATGTAATGGGATTTTAGGATTTTTTTGGTGGTTTTCCAGAGAGAATTGTCATGAATAGAGAGAGAAGTAAGGTAGGTATCAAAGGATTGGGATCTGAAGGATGATAATTCTTACTTTAGTAATTTACAATAATAATTGTAGGAGCGGCAGTCGATGGGGTGTTTGGTACGTTGCCTTAATGATCTGGCATGGCGTTTGGTGTGGATTAGGTTTATGAGGTGTTGGGGTAAACTATTTTTCCTAGGTTTTCTTGAAGAATGATTTGGAGAGGAAGCTATCCATACTGCTTGTTGAATGGTGGTGGTAAAGGAATGTACGGCATTGTCAAGGTCTTGTGGGGTTTTCAAGGCTAATCTGAGGTCAATTTTATCGGAAATGGTTTGATGAAAGAGTTTCCTGTTAACTGGGCCACTGATGATATGAATAATTAAATGACAATTAAAAATAAATTAGTGTACATAGTTGTCTAACCCTAATATTAAAATAAAGAAATATACTGTAGTAAATATATGATCTGTAAGTAGACATAGGAATTTAATGATAGATACATACTGGTTAGTTCTCGGATTTGTACAAATAAGCAATATGGCACATACATAGATATCTGCAAGATATCAGTATGATGTAGCTGGCATCTCTAATTACAAAATAAGTTTATCTTTACATATTTTCGTAAGATTTATTACTGAAAATATGGGAAAATAAATTGTGTTTAAATGATGTCTAGGATGAGGATTTCCGTATAGAGCTCGGTAGAGAATCCAAAACGAGGTAGTACGTATGACGAAGGATTTTTTAAAGGAAACAGTTCTATGAGAAGGAATAAACAGATTTGAGGATTGGGTTCTCGTGTTGAACGAATGGACAGAGGAACAAGGAGTAAAGAAATCAAAAAGATAAGAAGTTGTTTTGGTTGTAAAGGTTCGGAAAAGAAATACACCTAAGAAATAGATAGAGCTACTTCAGCTTTCCAAAGCAACTGGAGAGGTGGGAGAGCCTGGGGACTCCAATGATAAATCTAACGAAACAATTTATTAGTCTCTTTAATCTGAACTCAAACCCACCAGACAGTCCACCGTATACAAGGCAGTTATAATCGAAGTAAGGGAAAATCAAAGAGGAAACTAGTAGCTAGAAGCTGATGGATTTTAAGGGGCATAGAATCATGGAATCTCAGGAACTGTTTGAGTGTAGCTATGGGCTTTTGGATAATTTGGGAAATGTGATTTTTTCAGGACAGATGTTAATCAAACATTACCCCAAGGTTTCTTACGGAAGTGCGGAAACGAATGCGTATCATTGAGGGAGAGTAGATAGAGGATAATAAGTGATGAGCTTAATCAGATGCTTGGAACCAATGAGAATGGGTTTGGTCTTCTCAACATTCAATTTTAAATCATTGCCCACTGCCCGGGTATTAATACTGTTAATATCTTCTTGTAACCTTCGGATCGTCTCAAGCATCTGGATGGAAAGAAAGTAGATTTGGACATCGTCCGTATATAAATTAGTTATAAATTAATGCAGATGGAGAAAAGAGTTGGAGAGAGCGAAGATCCCTGAAAAACCCACGAATTAGTAAGAGGGGGAGGAAGGAGTTTTATTGAGAATGATGACTGTTTGGGATCTTAGATACAAAAAAGAATGGAACCACTTTAGAGCACTATTTGATATGAAAAGGTTTTGGGGTTTGGTTAGGAGGATTTCATGATTAATGGAATCGAAAGCTTTTGAAAAATCAAAGAGAACTAGGAAAAATATTTTCTATTTGTCTATAGAGAGATGAAGGTCCTTGGAAATTTTCAGCAAAGCGGATTCGGTAAATAACTGGGATCGGTAACTAGACTGTAAGGAACTCATTAAGCTGTGAGTGGACTATTCTTTCAAGAGGCTTTAAAAGATTGGAGAGAATGGAGATGAGTCTGAAATCGGAAACTTTGGAGGGAACCGGTACTTTGCTCAGTGGGCGGACAATAACTTTTTTCCAAACTGACGGGAAAAAGGAATTTTGTAAGGAAAAAATTGAAGATATGCAGTAGGACAGGAAAGATGACAGGAAGACATAATTTGATTGACTTTACATGAATTATGTCCGAGCCATAGTCGTTTGTTTTGGATTTTAAGACAGAGGAAAGTAGGTCTTCTGTTAAAATATTTATAAAATAGAAATGTTCATGGTCAAAGGAAGATTTAGGAATATAGTATGAGGATAAAAGTGGTAATGAGTCAGGATCGGCAAAGTGGAAATTCAGTTGAGAAGAAACAGATTTTTGATGTGGAAGTTGCAATCTGTACAAGTTTTTGATTTTACCGCGGAGAGGTTTTTAAGGATTTTCCATCTGAACTTAGGATCTGAGGCTTGTGATAAGGAAGTATGAAAGAATTGTGTCTTAGCACGTCGCAAGGATGATTGGGTAAGGTTTCGAAGAGTCTTAAAAGAGAGGTAGTCATCCGGATTACGTGTTCATCTTAAATGACAATTATATATATATATATATATATATTGAAATATTCAAATAAATATTAATCAAAATGCTATATGATACTTACTTTTAAAACAGAATGGTACGGTGAAGCACTGAGTGAAATTGAAGCTACGTTTAAGCATGTTCCTTTGCAGTAGTATGCTTCGTATCCTTTTGGTTGGATTATCCAATTTCCCCATCCGATGTCAGCAAATGAGACATATAACTTTTCACGGCAGCAATCACTAATTCCTTCAATACAGTTAATGTTTCGTTTTTCCCTAATCATCTGTAAAATAAAACATAATGTATGTCAGCGAGGTAGTAGAAGTAGTGATACAAGTTAATATCGCCAATTTATTGTAAGTCACTAAGTAACATTTCATAACTTTGAATCACGATGTACTTTGATGATTTTTTCTTTTTATTTATTTATTGTTGATTAAAAAGAAAATATTGTGCATCTCGTGTAACTATATATTGTATATAAAAGATTTGATGTCATTTTGGTGGATTCATTATGTTTTTGTAATGAAATGAAATGAAGATAGATTTTTTTTATCCTATAAGATAGATTTTTGTCCCTTTAGGACAAATTATAGATGAAGAGAAAATGCCTGTGTGGCCATATATCAAATTAAATATTTAAAATACAAACTACTAAAATACAAAATCATTTCGGGGGGAACTTATAAAGTTCTCTTATCTACTTTTCATGTCCAATCGGCTTGGGAAAGAAGTAGGTGCTTTAAAAGAAGAGATTTAAATGAGGAAACTGATTGTGCATGTTGGATATCGGGAGGGATAGTATTCCAGATAGAGACGGCGTGAATTATAAAGGCAGCAGTTCGGTGAGGAGGTGGATAGAGGTCAGAAGTACGGGATTTAGTGGGACGAGATTGAATGGAATATTTAAATTGTAATAATAATAAAATAATAATAATAATAAACAGGCTTAGCGAACCCGAAGGTTCGATGCCGACACCACCAATCGCTTATTACACACCTCCCTCCACCGTTCGCCGTCCAGACCCAGTCCCTTCAGATCGGCTTTAATGCAATCTTCCCACCTTCGCTTCGGTCTACCACTCGGACGCTTACCATTCGGCACAGCAAATATTAACCTTTTAGGAATTCTCTCGTTACCAAGTCCAACAACTTTACAAGCCCATTTGATTCGCCGCGATGAAATTACCTCAATTATATTACCCGGATACAGCTCACGCAATTCGACGTTGTGTAACTGTCTGAACTCTCCGGTTAACTCATCATTATTTTCAAAAACCTTAAGACGCTGCTCATCCCTTAATGTAAGCGGCCAAGTTTCGCACCCATAAAGAATTGTAGGCAAGATAAGTGTTTTATAGATTCTAATTTTTAAGTTCCGGGACAAGAGGCGCGAACTAAGTAGTTTTGTCACAGAAAAATAACAAGCATTTCCCGCCTTCAGTCTAACCTTAATCTCTTCTTCAATTTCGTTTTTTCTAGTTATCGTAGAACCTAGATACCTAAATTTCTCTACCTGTTCAAACATATTACCATCTATACCGATATCAGTAGTAGTATCGCCATTTTTGCAGCTAACCATATATTTTGTTTTATCTACGTTTATTTCAAGTCCTAGTTCTTTATCGGCTTTCATTAACGTTGTCGTATTTAGTTTTATAGTTTCAACGTCTTCGCTTAACAGCACCAGATCATCAGCATAGCCCAGCACGGATGTTGTCCCTCCCAGATCCAACCATTTCTCGGTACGCATTACCTCCCTAATGGCATGTTCTAATGCCAAATTGAACAGGACAGGCGAAAGGGAATCCCCCTGTTTTAAACCCGAACGAACCTCACATTTTTCGGACAGATTATTACCGATTTTAACTTTATTAAGTGTCTCCGTCAAGCACATCCTCACTAGATTTAATAGTTTTTTTGGAATCCCCTGCTCGATTAGAATATTATACAGTTTCTGGCGGTCAATAGAATCGTAAGGCTTTTTAAAATCTATATACAGCTGGTGAACAATACCGTTGTACCCGACCCACATTCTGCTCCGCGATAAGATCGTACATTAATTATACTGCTTTGCCAGCTGTGTTGTATCAAGACATGGTCGATTTGATTTCGTGTTTGCGAATACGGTGATGTCCAAGTATATTTATGAATATCCTTATGTTTAAACGTCGTACTTTTAATTATCAGGTTTTTCGAGATGGCAAAGTTTATCAGACGGATCCCATTATCATTACTATATTCGTGCAAACTTTCTTTACCAATCGTAGGAATATAAACTTCTTCCCTTCCTACCTTTGCGTTCGCGTCACCTACAATTATTTTCATGTAGTTTTGCGGTAGTTTATCATTAACCCATTCGAGTTTATCGTAAAATTCACTTTTGACTTCATCGTCACTGTTTTCGGTCGGACAATGTATGTTTATTAATGCGATTTTAAACCAACGTCCCTGAAATATAGCTACCGAAATTCTATCACTAAAGAATTGTACGTCCCTCAAAGCAGATAGTAATCTACTCCTAATTAGAAACCCGGTACCCTAAAAATGATTCCCGCTTCCTCCGTACCAAATAGTGTACTTTCCTTCCCTCATCGAGCCCTCCCCTGGCCATCGAACCTCTTGCAGAGCCACGACATCTAAATTATACCCATTTACCTCATTCGCGATCGATTTTAGCCCCCCCAGCTGTGTTTAAACTCCTTACATTCCTCATACCAATATATAAATCCCTATATTTCAACTTGCGCCATGAATCCCCTAAAGCAGTCCCCACCTGGAGACCCGAACGGGGGACTAGTTTACCTCCGGATAATGAGCGTTTTACCTTAGGGAGATCCATGACTATTTGTGGTGTTTGGTGAACTAAAGATATGTGAGTAGGGCGTTCAATCCTACGTCACACCCTCCAGCAAGTCTGGTGGGCCCCTACCTCCAGCAAGTCTGGAGGTCCCCTCCCTCCAGCAAATCTGGAGGTCCCCTCCCTCCAGCAAGTCTGGAGGGCCCCTCTCATTGTTGGTCAGTGAGTCCATCGGACTTAGCCGGAAGGAACTTCCAAGGAATTTCCACCGACCATCCCCACATCCGCCACCCGTGGGACGCTATCCATACGCGGTAATGAGCCCGCGCGAGGATATTTAAATTGTAATCTGTGAAAAATATAGGAAGGTCGCTGAGTTCTGATAGCTTGGTATAGAAAGGTAACAAGGAAGTACAGATGGCGGTTGGATGGATAGAGCCGCTTCAAATTGGTTTAATACTGGGTTACATGCGTATCTCTTGAGATTCCGAAAACAAAACATATTGCGCAGTTCATCAGGCGTTTAGGTTTGGCCTCAAATTCCCCCGAGAGTCCGCCGTACGCCAAACAGCCGTAGTCGAAGTGGGGGAACACAAGGGAGGAAACCAGGAGTTGTCGGGATTTATATGGAAGAAGATAGTGGAGACGGTTAAACTGACGGAGCGGCCGGTAGGAAGGAGTGGAACCAATTAAGAGTACTAGTTGAAAAGGAGATATTTTTAAGCTTGGTTAGGAGAATTTTGTGGTCTACTGAGTCGAAGGCTTTGGAGAAATCAAGGAGAATTAGGATGGTGAGTTTCTGCTGGTCCATGGCTGTATGAATGTCTTGGGAAATTTTGAGGGCGGATTGAGTGGAGTTGCCGGGTCGGAAACCGAACTGGTTGGGATTTAGGAGGTTATTCTGTTCTAAAAATTCGGATAACTGTGTTTGAACTAGTCGCTCTAAAGGTTTGAGAGGAGAGAAATTGGGCGTAAATCATTAAGAGTTGATGGATTGGGGTCTTCAATAGTCTTCTTCATAGGGTGAACTAGTGCAGTTTTCCAGGATGTAGGGAAGGTAGTGTTTTGTAGTGATTAATTGTAGATATGGTAGAGGATTGGAAGGATGGATGGTAGTGAGGTTTGGCCTCGAATTCCCCCGAGAGTCCGCCGTACACCAGACAGCGACAGTCGAAGTGGGGGAACACAAGGGAGTAAACCAGGAGTTGACTGGATTTATATGGAAGGAGATAGCGGAGACGGTTAAACTGTTTCAGGGTAGAGATAGTACGACGGGAAATTTGGGAGATGTGTGGTTCCCAGAAGAGGGTTTGAACACCAAGGTTTTTTATGGAAGTATGGAATGAGATAGGGGAGTTGTTCAGGAAAAGATTGGGGAGTTTCGGTAAGGATTTGAGGAGTGTGAGAGTTCCGATCAGGATGGCTTTCGGCTTCTCGGAATTTAGAGTAATTTTATTGTGGTTTTCCATAAAAATTCCGTTTATATCTTCCTGTAATTTTTTTATGGTGCCAGAGGATTCGGTTGGATTGAAGGAGAGGTAAATCTTGACGTCGTCGGCATACAGATGGTATTGACAGTGTAGGATAGAGGATGGAAGGTCATTGATGTAGATGGGAAAAAGGGGGGGGAGATAAGGAGGAGCCTTGTGGTACACCTGTGGACAAGGGTAAAGGTACTGGTCGGGGGTTATTGGGGACTACAACATACTGGGAGCGGCCGGTAAGGAAGGATTGGAACTAATTAAGATTACTAGTAGAAAAGGAGATATTTTTAAGCTTGGTTAGGATAATTTACCTTTGTGGTCTACTGAGTCAAATGCTTTGGAAAAGTCAAGGAGAATAAGGATGGTGAGTTTCTGTTGATCTATGGCTTGGGAAATTTGATCAATTGATGGATTGGGGGAATTTGATTTTGAAGGTCTTGGGAAATTTTGAGGGCGGATTGAGTGGAGTAGCCAGGCCGAAAACAGGACGTCTTCTCATGCACTCTATCAGAGCGGGTGTCAGCCAAGGAGCAGGGGGATGTCGGATTGTTTTAGTTAGAAGAGGAGCATGGCATTCGAGGTCGATAAGGATTTCTACCATGACGTCAATGGATTTTAAGGAATAAATGAGTTCCCACTGAGTAGCGTCGAGATCCTGTGACAGGGCTTCATAGGTGAGGAAATTGAGGTTTTGGAAGGATATGGTTCGAGGAGAAAAAAATGGGACAGGAATGTTGTAGGAAATCGGGATAAGATCATGGGAAGGCAGAAACGGAACCGGGTGCTGAGATGCTGCGAAGAGTTTAATCAGGGGAATCCAAGATAAACAGATCAAGCCAGGACTGGGTTTGATGGGTAGGGTTGTAAGGAACTATATAAAGGCTGAGGAATCGGAGGAGGCTGGTTGGGTAGGAATGGTCAGAGGATGGTATCATAAAATTGGTATTGGAGTCTCCGCAGAGTAGGAAGGGATTAAGGTGTAAAGGGTGGTCTCAAATA